GCCGCTGCTCGCCTGGGAGTACCTACTCTGCTGCCTGAACTTCTAAAAGAACGGGCCGGGGGCTGTCTCAGGGGTCTCAAGTCTGGAATTGATTATCTGGGTAAGGATCCTGTGAGTGGGGAGGTGTGCGTCGCCTGGGCCTGGGCACGAGGTCTTGCGACTTGGTGCTGGGAGGCTGTAACAGTACTGGATGAAGATGCGAACTGAAAGGCCGGCGCCGGATTCATCTCATCTCCATCCAGATTGGCTAGTGGAGTGAATCGAGACTGGTCCTGAAAGTTTGGTTGCATAGCTGCGTTTCTTGTAGGGGATCTCTGCGGTTGATCCACCAAGGCATTGTTAGCTTGATTCGAACGCTGTTCTGGCTTTCTTGAATTTCTTCTAACTCTTCGTGGCGCAATCATCCAAGGACCAAATTTCTTTGTTAGAATTGGCCTTGGTTCGGGCAGAGAAAGCGGGGGAACTTGGTCATCTTTCTGGGCGGGATTGTCGTGAGTAGTGTCAGAGGATTTACCTAGGTTCCCTGTGGAGTTGCCGCATTGATCTAAACGATGGCCGTATAAATCCATTACTATTTAATTATAACTTAGGGTGTGTTTGGTTGGTGGGTTTTGCCCATAGGAATGAGTATGAAAGTGATTGTTATCGTTTGGTTGATAGGTTTTTAGAACACTACTATGGGTTTCGAATACCCCATCAATTGAAAAACCCATACCCAAATAAAATAAGGGTTTCATTCCCTTATTCATTTTCAAGCACTACTATTAGTAACCATTCCCATTCCACCTTACTACCAAACATGTTAAGTACTTCCACCAAAACCCATTACCATTACCAAGTATTTGATACCCATTCCGATTCTGATTCCTATGTGCGAACCAAACACACCCTTAATGACTTCATCATTATTACCATATATACACTTTCATCCCCAATATAAGATTTTAGCTCAGTTTTTTAAGGAGGTTATATCAAGACATAGTGTGTTGGAGAGAGAAGATTTGAATTGTCGCAGGAGTAACAGTTTTTGTCCCTTGAAGTGGGCCCCACAAAAGAAAATAAAAAAATTGCAGCTAGTATGCGTTAAGCGCACCAGCAGCGCCCAGTGGTGAGCGCGTGTACTACACGCGCTCACTAGACGCGTTGAGGGTGATCGCCACCTGCCGACCACCCTCATTAATTGTTTTTTCTTTTTTCTTTTTTTCTTTTTTCCTTCCTTCCTTCCTCTTTCCTACTTGGATTCTAAAAATTTGTTCAAAATCTTAGACTATTGAGCATGTTCATATCTATCACATCTGTTTTCTATTATTTAATTATCATTTTATTAAAATTATTATATAATTAATTTAATTATTTATATTTTAGGGTGTGTTTGTCTGGGTTTCCGGTGTTTGAATGTGCATAAAACATGTTCATTTTAGAGGAAAATGACATCCCCTGTTTTTTGTGAAGTCATTTTGTAACTCTTACACTAACACCACACCACCACCACTATCACCACAACACCATCACCACCATACCACCACCACCATACCACCGCAACCAATGCCACTGTCATACCACCACCAATTATTATTATTATTATTATTATTATTATTATTATTATTATTATTATTATTATTATTATTATTATTATTATATAACAAATAACACTACCACTACCACTACACCACCACCACTGCCATCACCAACACCACCACCACCACCACCACCACTATACCACTTATTATTATTACTAGTATTTTCTATGCGCGATGCGTAAAAATAGGTGTCCAATATTAGTACTTTATATTAAAATCTTAGATTTATTTAGATTTTAGATATTTAAATTATTGTAAATAATAATAATAATAATAATAATAATAATAATAATAATAATAATAATAATAATGTAAAACATTTTTATAAATTTGATATTTATGTATTAGAAAATAACTAACATATATGATATAACTCCAATATATATGTGTCTATATGAAGAAGATAAGAAAATATACTGTGAATGCATGTGCATGGTAACAATAGTGGAAAAGTTAACGGAAGTTATAATGGTAGGGATATGTTGTCCAAAATATTGTGTAGTACTACTTTTATAGCATTATAAAAAAAACATAACGAAAAAACGGACATAAATGAAAGATATATAATTTTCCTTCACACTTATTATGTTTTCAGATTATTTGTTGTTGTTGTTGTTGTTGTTATTTTGAATTACAAGATTTTGGTTAATTATTTTGATATCTTATTAGTTATCTTTTATTATATTTAAAATTGTTACTCTGTATCAAAATATTATACATGTTATATTATAAATAAAATAATTAAAATGTTTAATTATACAATTATACTCATTTTCCAGAAAATGAACCAAACACTCCAATGCAGTTTTCCAGAATGCAACTAAACGCTGTAAATGAAAATGTTTTCTTGAAAATGACTCGTTTTCCAGAAAATATTTTCCTGCTTTCCAAACGGATCCTTAATTAAATTTTAATGAATGGTAAATCATGTGTCATGTGTATATATATAATACATATATTATATGTGTATATATAACTTGAACTATAATTTGTAATTACTTATGTTTATCAATGTTTTAATATTAGACATAATTTTTGCTCGTTGTGCGTACAAAAATGCTAGTAATATCTACTAATATAGCAAGAGCCAATAAAGTTAAGCCTATAACGGGAATTAAAAAATGTTTCCAATTGTTTGTTAAAATGAATGGTTCATATTATTTTGATTTTAGTATTTTTTATTATTTTTAATTTCATACTTTACCATCTATTATATCATTTTCTTTTCCTAAATACCACTGCATTTCATCAGTGTAAACTTTAGTAAGGGAATATTATGTTAACTATTTATTATTCTTAACTTAGTCATTGATTTCCATAAGGAATGTCTTAGGTTCGAACCACATCCCAATCAGAGTTGGCATAATCGTTGAACATATACTATGAATATGCTAGAGTGTATTAAAACATACAATATAAAATTTAACATGAACTTTGGTCAATTAATTAGTCAGAATATATACATAGCATTCAAAGTTGAGCACCAAAGATTACAAATAAGAAATCTTGAAAATCATTTTCTTGCATTTTTTAAAAACAAATCTAGATTATGTTTTTGCATTATTGGAAATGATTTAGATTATTATTGTATTAATATTTTTTTGTCTGTATTTCTATAATGCTACAATTTTATGTACATTACTTTACAAATATTGATTACTATTATTTTTTTCAAGTGTGAACTAGGTTTCTCTATGATAAGTGTAGACTAATTTGATCCATCCATCTAGGATGATCAATGACTAAAAATTATGGGGGTGAGTTTTATAAATATTAGTATAAGGGAATCAACTTAGGGATTCCATGCATATATATATATATATATATATATATATATATATATATATATATATATATATATATATATATATATATATATATATTTCTTTAATGTAACAAAACTAATTTGACCAAATCTGTCTTTTTACAAACTAGCACGAGTAACCCAATTATACGTTAGACACTACCAACAAAAAGTAGTGGACAAGCTAAGTAATGAAGACGAGACAATGACAAACCTACACAAAAACGAATTAACAAAATTTAGAGTTATTCTAACCAAAAGTAGTATCTTCTACTATACCTAATACCATACAAAACTACAATAAGTATTTAGATACTTGTTTTTTTAGAAAAGTACAAATTAAACATTAATTTTAATGCCAACTATAATGAACTTCTCTTAAAGTATCTTGCATAAATATACTTTGAATTACTTATTTAAATATAAACATTGACATTAAATCAGTTGCGCAATGCACGTGTAAAACTAGTAATAAAAAATAATAAAAGTGAATGAAGGTTGATACATTTTATTGATGTTCGTTTTTTCGTTACATTTTTTTCATACATTATATTATAAGAGTTGTACTATACAATTTTTTAGTCAAAAATGCCTCCACCGTTTTAACTTCGGTTATCTTTTCATATTATTATTATCATGCACATGTATCCACCATATATTTTCTTATATTATTCACTGGTAATAATTATATGTAAACATTATATATTGGAGTAATATAATAAATAAATATGATTTCATTTAAATTTTAATTAGTTAGTTATTTTTTAAAATTTAAATATCGAATTTTAAAAATGGTTTGCATTATTATTATTATTATTATTATTATTATTATTATTATTATTATTATTATTATTATACAATAATATAACTATCTAAATAAAGCTTATAAGAGTGAACCAATGCTATTACCCATGATTTATGTATGTATTATATTTATTGAGTTGTATATTGTGCTATAAATATTGTACTATCATTTAATCATTTTTATTCTACAAAATAATCTTACACCATTAAACTTTGTTTAGTATATATTAAATGTTACCATAATTATATGTAATCAATTATCATATCGAAAATTCTTACTTTAACAGTTATTAATCATACCGTAATTATTAGTCAAATTATCAACTATACTTTTAATATAATATGAATTATACAAATATGATTTTTTAATGAAAATTTATATACTACTATTTAAAAAAATATTCCAATATAACTAAGATTTAGCCAAAGGCCTTGTGGTGGTTTCAAGTTCGAACATCAGGTGCATTGACTCTGTGCTTCAGTATGTTGAGAAAACTTCTATTTTCATTGTTCTTCAAAGACTAGCCAAATATGGATAAGATGATCATCTCTAGACTTACTATAGATCATAATGTCATTAAAATAGACTACCAATAAACTTTTTTTCAAAACATGGTTCATTAGTCCACATGAAGGTACTAGAAGTGTTGGTTATGCCTCATGGCCTCAGACTTTCTCGAATGTGTCCCATTTCGAGAAGCTATATAACTTGTTTGAATATTTTTACTTTCCATCATATTTGTCCTATACATTGGATGGTTTGGAAGTGTAGCACTTGGAACCAAATCAATGTTATTTTCTATTCCCTGAATATGTGGCAATCCTTGTGGAAGACATCTACAAATGCAGCCAGGAAATCATCAATAGATGCATTACTCTCAATAGATGTATTGCTCTCAATAGAACTAGAGGAATTTAACGCATATCTTTGGAAAAACAAAAAGTAAGTAGAAAGTAACTCCCATTTTAAATGCCTGCTTGATGTCTCTTTTGCTTGCAAAAAGGGATTGCACCTGTACGAATTCTATTTCCTTAATTTTGTGGTGGGTTGGGAAAAAAATCATTAGTTACATAAGATGTCCCTATTTTTTTATTTTATTTTTTTTTCAAAATATGATCTAATAATCCCACTCCTAACTTGCTTAGATTCTACCTCAAGCATCATATATACAATACATATATAGTCCACCATATAACAAAACTTTTGATTTCTAATAATAGAGAACTTAGTTTAAAATTGATGATATAATTTCTCCCACGAAAACCTCTAACATCTCTATATATATTAAAGCAAAACAATAGGAGCAAAAAAATCCCGCCCAAACCGATCGTCGACGTTTTGAACAAAGCCGCGAAATTTATTATTTTTGCTTCGGAAAACCAAAGGTCTACGCACTATAATACCTAAAGTATATAGAAAACCTATTTTTTTCAAAATATCTACGACAGATCATTCTCCCATCCAATGGAATTAGAGAATGTATTTAAGGCAATTAGTTTTGCATATGGGACATTGAGCCCACGAACCCATACCTATTCTCTAGGTATTTATTGATGATGATCAATAACGAAAGGTCATCAGACCTTATATATACAACACATATACGACTAATGAATAAATTCGCAAACTCCCTCTACAACAGCCTCTCTATTTCTTCTTCACTAACACAAAATGTTTGTCCTTGCTAGCCAGATATCTCCGATGAATACCAGGCAGGCTCTTAGACTATGGGTGGTGCGAGCATATCAGATTCCTGAGAGAAGTGATGCATCGAAGTTTAGATCAAAAGAGGTTGTTTTTCATGATGAAGAGGTAAGGACTCTTTAAAAATAGATAGACAGTCGTTTTACTTTATACAGTTCGTATTTTTTTCCGATATTCAAACAGAGATTATATATATTTTACAGTCCCTATTTTTGTTAATTACACATACACAGGGATCCTTCTTGCATGCTCATATACCCAAAGAGTACGTGGAAAAGTACCTTAGCTCTTTTGCTGAAGGTTCAGTATATGCTATAAAAAAATTTTGTGTGATCACCAATTTTTACTCATACAAAACCAGCCCCCAGAAGTACATGATAAAATTTAACTATCAGACTATGGTTAAGGATTTAAAGCATGTGAAATTTCCTATGAAAATGTATCGGCTGAAGACCTTTAGAGAGATCAAGTCTAATGAAGGCCATGATGAGAAAATCTTATTTGGTAATCAGTGCTCTCATTCAATCTATGGTTTCTAATTATTTAATATTTTGTCTACTATTCTATACTCTAATGCATTATTTTGTAGATGTTATTGGTCGAGTGATTGAGATACACTGCCCACAGGAGAAACTAATCAATAGCAAGAACTCCAGGCTGATTGACTTCACCATTGAAGATACTGAGTACTACTGAATTCCAGTCCCTATGGTTTATTTTATATTTTAGAGATTTCTGTTATTCTAATATATTTTCTAAATATTTATAGTGGAATACAACTAATGTGTACTTTGTGGGATGAACACGTAAGCAAAATTGAGGCATTCTACAATTCTACTTCACAAGAGCCTTTATTGGTGTTGATACAGTTTTGTAGGGCTAGGGTGTGTCTAAAAAGTAAGTAGATTAAATCTCATAACTGCTCCTAACTTATTCACCAATTAGCCTTTCTAATTTGTACTACAACATTATTTCTTAAAGGTGGTGATGTCAAGATTTGTAGCTCCTATGATGTAACACAGCTGCTTTTCAACCAAGAATCTCATCCATTTGAGGAGTTCAGGAAAAGGTACTTCCATTCTTATTTTTGCAACTGCAAATTTACATTTAATATTAATTCTCATTTTATGTTATCATTTTACAGTATTAGCCATGAACAGACTCCAATGCGCAGTATAATTTCTCAGTCAAGTTTTAAGGAATGTAGCTCCTATTCAGTTTCCCTATCTGCTGATATGGAAGTTCGTACTATCAATGACATCCACAGAGACAAGCAGGTAAGACTGTTAAGTCATTAGTGAACTTACTGGCATGTTAATACTGTATACATTTGTGATCTGACTGACATTTGTTGAACAACAATGCTATCTGCTGGATTATGTAGTCTGCATTTACATCAAATTAACTCATGAAGTATAGGTGTATCATACTTTAAAACAACAAATGATTATATTAACCTAAACATTATACCCAACACCTTTAAAATGTTTAGATTTTATAGATGGAATTTTGCCACTTATTAATATACCTCTATGTCTTTACTTTGTTGCAATCCATGTTAGTACAAACTTCTGGCATGTTTAACCTGCAATTAATGTAAAGCATGAGCTACATTAATAATATCACAACTCTGCAGCCCTCTAGAGTATACAGTTGTGTTGTTAACTCATTCATTTAATTAAAAATATACCTCTATGATATTACTTGATTGCAATCCATGCTTTGAGTTCAGCTCAAAGCTGCACAATAGATCCAATTTCTTGGCTGTTTAACCTGTATTAGATAATAAGCATGAGATAGAAAAATAGTAACACAAATGTGGTGTTCTATATAATTTATTCAGATTAATCAGTCCACTAGTGTGTACTTATCTCTTTCAGGGCTGGTGTTAATTGTTTTGGTACCAAATACTCCCTGTTAACCCCCAAACCTGCACAATCAAACACATATTGATGGTTTAATTACTGTTAGATAAAAATTGATGGGAAGATTTGGACTATATAATCACACATATACTGATGGGGAGGGGGAGGGGGGTTTCTAATAAACTCTGTTAACAATCAAATATATTATGCAGTTTGGCGATTTTTGGGTGGCAGCAAGGATTGTATTCATTGATGATCCAGAGTGGTACTATGCTTCGTGTAGAACAAAGGGTTGCAACAAAAAACTGAAGCTCAAAGGAAAGTGGTTATGGTGTAGTACATGTGACAGAAATTTGGGTGACGGGACACTCAGGTACAAAATTAAGGTTAGGGTTGTGGACTTGGATGGCAATGCTCCTTTCCTTCTATGAGACAGGGAGTGCCTCGATCTACTTGGAATTAGCGCGGATGATCTGAAGGATACCCATACTAAGGTACAAAACTATATTTCAATCTTATCTAGACTATTAACTTAGTAGTACCTGAACCAGAAATGTGGTGGTTTCAAATACTGTTTCACATATGGTGTATAGGAAAATTAAAATCTATACTAATTTTTTATGTAGGGTAGGAAGGGGCTACCTAAGGAGCTCGAGACTCTAATTGGACTGAATCTCCTATTTCGAATTACCGTTCGCAAAGAACAGTTCCAGAATTATCTCAATGCTTTCCCTGTTATGAGGATCATCACTAATGAAAAGATTGTAGCAAAGCATGCACCAGAACTAATAGGAGTAAGGGACAGGGATCTCAGTTCAAAGTTGGAGTTGGAGCTTACAAATGAGGACCTATGGGATCTAGAGGTATACTTATCTTGGGGTTACCGAATAACATGTTGTACCAATTAGTTTATAGTTTAATATTATTGGTGACTTATACAGTTTGGACTTCTGATTTTGTAGGAAGCAAACCAAGCAAATGAAGCTGAAAGTCCACTCCAAGTTGTTGCACAGAGACTCAACGCAGAGAATAGTATTGAGAATGGAACAGTCAAGAGATCACTAATCGATGAATTTTCAAGCACACAAAGTTCAAAAAAAAAGCAAGGAATGTGTGGTCAAGATTGAGAAGGAAGCAGATGTGTAATGACTTTAATGATTGACAATGTGCTATATTGGACTATTTTTTGTAACAATGGTTTTTATGTTGACATTTTTGACGTGTCACTCAAACAGCTAGACTGAAACTTTCAATCATTTAGGATTAGATTCCTAAATCATTGTTTTTTTTATGAATGCTCACAATTTGCCCCTAGGAGCTGTTATTGGTACTGGATTTGTTTTATTCCTTTTGCAGAATATTTTTTTCAGGCAGTGGTGCCACAATGATGTCAAAAGAATGCAGATGTATGATAAAATATGTCAAGAGATGGCTGACATGACAGAACAAAATGAAGAAGATGGCAGAGATATCACTAAAAATGGAAAGTGATGGCACATAAATCAGTTGAAGATGCAGATAACATCTAGCAAACAGACCATCAAATTGTATTTGGAGTGAAATGTAATACACAGTTGTAGGACTACTTTTTAGAGGCAGAACATTATGGTAGATTAATGTAATGTCATTTTTAATGGTAAAATATTATTCTATCTTTTCTAAGCTCCAGCTAATAATTCTACTCCTCCATTTTGTTGCATAATTAACAATTCCCTTACATTAAATACTAACAGCAAAGCAACTCATTGTCATCCAAAATTAACTCTACTAATAATGTAAACAGAATATCAAATTTTAATAGTGTATAGAAACCATCAAAAGTAATAGTGTACTCTAACTTGAAAATTTGAATGTAGTATTAAAATAGTACAGTTGCAACCCTTGCTGACTACTCAACACCCTTAGATGTTTGATAAAGTAAAAGTCATTAAAATAGGTTTAAAACTAAGGGCTTAAACATACCAGCCTCTGTCATCTTAAAGCTCACTTCAAAGTCCTTTTAAGTGAACTTCCAGGTCATTTATGCAACATTTGCTTGATAGCATCCTACCTGCAGTTTAACCAACAAGTGATTGATTAAAAATAGTAATGGCAGCCACATCATAGTCAATTTCTAACACATGGATTAAGATCACAAAGTTAATTATGGACTTAGTGCTGAATAGTGAATTACCCTTTGATTTCACCAACTTTGTTATTAGGAAGCCTCCTAAATTAATGTTAGGTGAGGACCGTTGGTGTAGCAGCTTACCTGCAGTGGCCAAATTTGGAATTAGCCGGGTAACTCATTATAAACACCATCTAAATTAGGAACAATGAAAAGGTATTATTGTTGTTAATAACATTATATTGAGCATTTGTAAGTCTGTTAAAACTTATCTTTGAGTCGTGCATAGTAACTGTTTCTACAATAGTCTTGACAACCTCTTTGTTATTAGGAAGACTACTCAAAGACTTAGAGTTGAGTACAGATTGTTAGCATCTTCCCTGCAATTGGAGAATTTCAATTCACTTAATTAAATCTTATAAACATCACCTAATGTACGAACACTGAAAGATTATTATACTCAACGTAAAGAACATTATATTAAACCAATTTGATAAATGTAAAACTTATCTTTGACCCAAGCGTAACAACCTCTTTAGTACAATTCTCATTATGTGATAAAAACATATCACAACATCTATTAAGTCTGTGCTCTATTCCACTCAGGGTCATCCAGTTAATAGTTGCTTTTGATGTCAAACCCAAAGTAACTTATTGGCATAAAAATTTAACTCCCTTACATTAGATGACCCAACTGTTGGTTACCTGGAAAACAACATATATTAGAATCCAAACAAAGTTGTGAATTCCAGTTTAGTATGAAAAAACAAGTAGTAAGAATATCAATGAGCTAATATATTGATGGCACATTGCATTAAGTAGCTGATCAAAACCTTTTAGTATTCCAAAAGCAATTATAATTGCCATTTTCCAATGTTGTCTCCAAATATTAATTGACTACTTTACACCTATATATTCAACAATTAGATATTATTAACCTCTGTTAAGCACCACACCTACACAAATCCTAAACTGGGCAATTCATCTCACCTAGAGTACATGAGGAAACTTACATCTTCAACCACAATTGGTTCGAAGCGCAAGCATCCCAACAGCAACCAAGGTAAATCTATTGACTTCTATCTTTATTATACTATTCGGTCTTAGTTTATACAAGTATTATACGATATTTTTTTAACTCTACTAAAAAGATTAAAAACGATCTCAACCCATATTAACGGATTGTATCTGTTATCGAAACACAAAATTAATCGCCTAAAATAAAACTAATCAGATAGATTTTCAGGTTACCAAAATCCATATGCATATGTACCATTAAATTGGAGTGAAAAGAAAAATAGTATATAAACGAGACTTAGATCTGAAAACTTAGAACAGGCCGGGTTAGAAATCAATACCCACTTTTTGTTGTTATTGTCCAAATCGTGTGTTTGAACAGACGATTATCCAAAATGGTTGACCGCCTGATAACATCGCACACATTTCTGTTCACCTTGGAGATCCCTAGCTACCCATGGACTCCGGCGAGTATATTGTTCACCGGATTCAATTCTATGCCGCCATTGACATTAGGAAAACTCCGATTTACTGCTTTGACACTACTATGAACACTCAGAGTGGTAGTAGTTGTGAAAGCTTTGGGTGAGTGAATGCTTCACAGTACCTTCATCTTCATCGTCAATCCATAGCCAAGAGATAGGAAATGACCGTCGAGAAACGATTAATACCTTAATCGAGTCTCACAATCGAACCCTAAACCCTTTATCATGTCCATTTTTAGTGAGAGAAATCACCGTCATTCACTAGCGACTTGGTCTCACAATGGATCCTTCTAGGAGATTAGTAAAGCGACCTCTTCTGCCTATATCACGGTGTGATTGCCAAAACAGTCAATTACAATTAATATTAATATTATTATTATTATTATTATTATTATTATTATTAAATAGAGTTAAAACAGCCCAGAAATTGTTAACTTTCAAAATAATAATAATAATAATAATAATAATAATAATAATAGTAATATTATTATTATTATTATTAATATTATTATTATTATTATTATTATTATTATTGAGATTTTTATGTTTATTCTCCTTATAATTATTATAATTGTTTGACTAACATTAATCTTCATCATTAATATTCTTATACTAATTTGTTATTATTGTGATTTGTTACCATCAAATGTTTATAACATTACACATTTAAAGGTTATTAGAACATGCTAAAAGTATTATATTATTATTAGTAACAAATAATGATATTATATTATATAATATTAAGATATATTATATTGATATAATAAAATGGTATTATTGTGAAATAGTAAAATATTAATATTAGTTTAATAGTAATACTTTAATTATAATTAAAGTAAACCCATCTATTATTATGATTCCATATGTATTCAAAAAATTGAGGTACCAAACATATCATGTATGGTTATATCATTGTTTTTTTTCTTTACAGAGAATGAAAATCGTATTGTCATGGATGCATCGTACATGTCGTCCATTGAATGCAGCAACAATACACACAATCGTACACCGCTACGTGGTGTTTTCCAAAGTTCGCTAAGTACGCCTTTGAGTATTGTGACAAATGGTAAGTGTGTTCTATATGATAGTGGAAATATATAATTAATTGTTGTTAAGATCTGTTGGTTATGAAATTCACAGCTTCAACCGCAATTCGGACGACCATTCGGACTTCCCCTTTGCAAGATTTGGGTAGCAGAATACCATTAAGCAACATATCCAATAGTACGAACATAAACAAACATAATTTAACAACTATAAATATTTTTTTAAATGTGATAATTAACATCCTAACAAGTGTTTTGTACGGCTCTTATATAATTAAAGAAAATATCGCTCGGGTTGACGGTGATCGTGAAAAAGCACCTATTACGAAGCGCCATAATCATTCGTTCGACTTAAATAGAACCCCAAATTCACAACTAGGTATAAAAATTTTCACTCCATCGATGTATTTATTCCTTATATTAAACTACACATTCTAATTACGAATCCTGTAGTCATTTATAATTTTCTATTGGTTAATAATAATCGTTGTTGTTGCAATGCACAGTATCTTCTCCGTTACGGATGACCATACATACTACACCAACGCAAGAATTGAGTAGCAGAATGTCATTTAGCAACATATCAAATGGTATGAAGTTCAACAAATATATTGTAATAAGATTACTAATGAATTATATATATAGTCAAATTGAATAGTTATTATTCTAACAAATCTTATTAAAAAATATTTTTTATTAAAGCAAACTTCAGTCAAGTCAATGTGTCCCTCAGCAATCCACCTACATCTGACCGTCCAAGTTTCTGCTTTGACTTAAATCTATCGCCAGAGTCGCAGATAGGTACAAATATATATTCAAGAAGAGGTTTTTAATTGTCACACATTTATAATGCTTAATTTAAAATATAACCAAATTAATTATAATTGGATATTGTTCTTTTAGGGATGGAAAGTAATTGTTGCATTACAAATGACAATAATATGCAAACAGTCCTGGTAGAGCCGGAGAGTGAAACCATCCCACATTACCGAAATTTGGTGCCAGACTTTCAGGAAGTTGTTGAACCGTTACATGATAATATGCCCTCAGTTAATGGTGAGTTCATATGAAATGTGGTAGGACAAAAATGTATTATATTTGGACTACAGTAAAATACATTATCATGCTAACTAATGTATTTTTTTTTTTTTGATTTTTATTTTGATCTTGGTGATCCAGAGTATCTTTGCGAGCATTGTAATTCATTTTTTTGGTACAATGAACGGTCAAGCAATTCAAAGTCATGTGAAAGTCCAAAATACTCTGCGTGTTGTGTCAATGGTAAAATAAAGTTGCCATTTATGACAAAGCCTCCTCAAAAGCTGTATGAGTTATTCTTTACATCAAACGATAAAAACAAATGTTTTTTAAAGAATATAAGGTCATATAACAATATGTTTTGCTTTACGTCGATGGGTGGAAAAATTGATAGAACTATAACAACGGAACATCACCACCGATATTCCGTATAAATGGTCAAAATTTTCATCGGATTGGAAGCTTATTACCTTCACATGGCATTCAACCGAAATTTGCCCAATTATACATTCATGATACAGAGAATGAGATAGAAAATCGCTTAAACTCTTTGAGGTATACTCTTTTGTGTTACTGAAATATTTTTGGTATATCATGGGTTAATACAGAGTATCTTATATTATATATTCTTCCTTTTTAGGGCTGAAAACAATGGTTCTGCATTGCATAGTGAGGTAGTACATGACATTAAGCAAGTGCTAGATGAACACAATGTGTTGGTTAAGTCATTCCGAATGGCCAAGTCGTTTCTGGAGTCTAATCCTCAAAGTCAAATTAGAATGAGATTAATAGGAAAGAGGACTAAAGATGCCAGGACTTATGCGTTACCAACTACTTCCGAGGTTGCTGCACTCATTGTTGGAGATATAGACCCTTACATAGGTCAACAGGATATTGTTGTCGAGTGTAGGTCTGGAGCCCTGAAACGAATAAATGAATTAAACCCGGCCTATTTACCATTGCAATACCCAATCTTATTTCCATACGGGGAGGATGGTTTTCGAGAAGATATACATTTTGCAACACTTGGTACAAAACAAGATTTTGCAAGAAAGAGTGTTTCACAAAGAGAGTACTTCGCGTTCCGTATCCACGAAATATCAAATGAGATTTCAACAATAATGTATGCTAAAAGGTTATTCCAACAATTCATGGTTGATGCGTATACTATGGTTGAATCTTCGAGGTTGCTCTATATTAGGTCAAATCAAAAAGCTTTGAGGTGTGAGGCGTACAAAGGTCTGTCTGATGCGTTGACGCGCGGTGAAGTTCAACCCAGCTCTCAAGGGAAAAGAATAATATTACCATCAAGTTTCACTGGAGGAGCAAGATACATGATACAGAACTATCAAGACGCCATGGCAATTTGCAGATTCATAGGTTATCCAAATCTATTTATCACTTTTACATGTAATCCTAAATGGCCCGAGATACAACAATTCTTGGAGAAAAGAAACTTGAAAGCTGAAGATCGTCCCGACATTGTCTGCCGTGTTTTCAAACTGAAGCTAGATTGTTTAATTAAAGAAATAAAAAATTGGAAACTATTTGGCGCGTAAAGGCAGGTGTGTATTGCAGTTGCTTATAAGTGTCATTTTTCAAAATAATCATTATTATTATATGAAGCTTCTATCTAACAATATGAATGCCTTTCTGACAGTAATATATACAATTGAATTTCAAAAACGTGGTCTTCCGCATGCTCACATATTACTGTTCCTACAAGCGACCCACGACTTTGCCAACTCGGCTTTTATGGACACGATCATTTCAGCCGAGATTCCCGACAAGCGTTCAGACATTGAGTATTACAAAGTTGTCGAAGAATTCATGCTGCACGGCCCATGCGGTGCTGCAAGGAGTAAATCCCCGTGCATGGCAAATGGCAAGTGTTCAAAGCATTTTCCAAAAAGATACATTGATGCATCACATTTTGACCAAGATGGTTACCCGTTGTATCGAAGAAGGGATGATAAGAGGACAATCAAAAAGAATGGAATAGAGTTGGATAATAGATATGTTGTACCACATAATCGGTACTTGTTTTTGAAATACAAATCTCACATTAATGTAAAGTGGTGTAACCATTCTAGGTCAATCAAGTACCTCTTCAAGTATGCAAACAAGGGCAACGACCATGTAACTGCTGAGTTTTATAAGACTTCGATGGATGAAGCGGGTAATGAGATTGTGGATGAGATAAACATGTATTATGATTGCAGGTACGTATCTTCATGCGAAGCAGCTTGGAGATTGTTTAGTTTTGAAGTCCAGTATAGAACTCCCCTGGTTGAGCGATTAAGCTTCCACTTGCCGGATTGCCAATCAGTTGTTTTCCAAGACGATGATACTATTGATAATGTACTCAATAGAGAAACCGTTGGTCAAAGTATGTTTAATGCATGGTTTTTAGCCAACCAGAATTTCAAAGAAGCGAGTTTGTTGACTTACATTGAGATGCCTACCAAATTTGTTTGGAAAAAAGACATCCGTGAATGGCATCCAAGAAAGACCAATAGAACCTCAATTGGTCGAATATTCTATGTACCTCCAGCTTCAGGTGAAATATATTATTTGAGGTGTCTATTGAACATAGTCCGTGGTCCAAAAAGTTTCAAAGATATTAGGACAATTAACGGTGTTGAGTACTTGACCTTTAGAGATGCGTGTTATGCGCATGGATTGCTAGACGACGATAAAGAGTACATTGATGCTATAAATGAGGCAAGCTACTGGTCAACTGCACATTCATTGAGGAAGCTATTTGTTGTTTTACTAACATCATCCTCAATTATTAGACCCGAAAATGTTTGGAATCAAGTTTGGCAACATCTGTGTGAAGATGCTCAACACTATCAAAGAAGAATATTAAAACAACAAGGTAAAATAACTTTTTTTTTATATACAATATACTTTTCAACAATTTTCTTAAGTTATACATATAACAATTTGGATGTTGCTATTGTAACAGATTTGGTCTTAACAGAGGAAGAGAAAAAGAACTTTGGATTATTGGAATTGGAAAACCTGTTGGGGCAACAGAACAAGTCTTTACAAGACTTTCCTCCGATGCCCACACCAAGTACTGATAATACAAGGTTGTTTCAAAATCGATTGGTTTTTGAAGAATTGAGTTACAATTCGGAACAACTGAAGACAGATTCTGAACCGATGTGTGCCAAACTAACAGAAGAACAGGGTCTCATTTTTTATACTGTTATCCAAGATATTGCAACCAATAAAGGTGGATTATTTTTTGTTTATGGATACGGTGGAACAGGAAAGACATTTTTATGGAGAGCGTTATCCGCTGCAGTCCGGTGCAAAGGCCAGATCGTTTTAAATGTCGCATCAAGTGGCATAGTTTCTTTGTTGTTACCAGGTGGCCGAACTGCTCACTCGAGATTTGCAATACCTATTGCAATAAATGAGGACTCTACCTGTACATTTAACAAGGTAGCGACTTGGCTGAATTGTTGATAAAAACGAGCTTGATAATTTGGGATGAAGCTCCCATGATGCACAAACATTGCTTTGAAGCGTTAGATCGAACCATGCGGGATTTTTTGCGTTTTGTTGACCCTAACAGTGAAATGAAGACGTTTGGTGGTAAAACAGTTGTCCTGGGTGGAGATTTCTGGCAAATTCTTCCAGTAGTTCCAAAAGGTACACGGCAAGACATTGTTTCGTCCGCTATAAATTCATCATATTTATAGGATAGTTGCAAAGTTTTAAGATTGACTAAAAACCTCAGGCTAAGTTCGGTACACAACGGTGTGAACCGGCAGGCATTACAAGAGTTTGCTAATTGGATTGCCAATATCGGCGATGGAAAGCTTGGTGGGCGGAATGACGAATTCGCAGAGGTTCAAATACCTAATCACATGTTAGTATCATCCGGGGGGGACGACATTAAAGCAATTGTGGAAAGTACATTTCCAATGTTTGCAATTGGAAACACTGACCCTGAGCATCTGATAGGCCGTGCTATACTTGCACCAACGCTGGACGTTGTCAACGCAGTTAATGAATATATGACTGAGTTGCATAATGCCGAAAGCAGGTCCTACTATAGTTTAGACGCAGTATGCAAAGCCGACGGTGATAATGGTATACATGGAGATGTACACACACCGGAATTTCTAAACAGCATTCGTGTGTCGGGTCTACCAAATCATACACTGAATTTGAAAATTGGCTCACCAGTAATATTAATGAGAAATATTGACCATTCTCTTGGGTTGTGCAATGGAACTCGGTTGATAATCACAAAGTTAGCAGACCATGTTATTGAAGGCGAGCTTCTCACTGGTCCCAACAAAGGTACAAAAGTGTTAATTCCCCGAATGTCAATGTCACCCTCGGATCCAAGATTGCCGTTCAAGTTTCAACGAAGGCAATTCCCATTGATGCTTTCATATGCGATGACCATAAACAATAGTCAAGTCCAAACGTTGTCTCATGTAGGGTTAATACTAAAGAAACCAGTTTTTGTACACGGTCAGTTGTACGTAGCTGCATCTCGGGTTAATAATCCAGACGGTCTGAAAATACTGATTGTAAAAGACTCAAGTTCAACTACTACATCAACCACTAATGTTGTATATCATGAAGTTTTCAATAATTTGTAATTTTGTAATATATTGTTTTTATATTACCAACACCTTGCAACTATTAGTAACATACAATTTTCATACGTTTTGGCGCTGTATTCCCCAATATATCACACAAATCTTAACATAAAATACACACAATTAAAAATGTTTAAATAACATCCCGTGCATCGCACAGGTCAAATACTAGTTTTTATAATACTATTTATACTTTTTTATGTATTCAGTTCGCACCCATAAAATTTGACTCTTATTCAGAAGAAAATTGAACTTAAGACCACATTGTTACATTGACAATCCACTTATCAATTGTCTTAAATTGCTAAGTTAGTACCAAAACTACCAAAATATCAAATCCTAATTAATGATCGATCTTCTCCCCCTCCACAACAATAAGGTGCATTATTTGGGTCAACTATAAAGTAAAAATTCGTTACGATAATTGAGAATTGACTTATAATAAGGGGGATTATATTTCTAATAGTATTTACATATTATTGGGGATATATAATACACTTACCAAAATTCTGCTAGTTCAATAGCCAACGTGATTTACCTACTCATAAAAAATTTGTCCAAGACAATGGATTTCATGTGATAAGTTAAATTTAGTTTAATTCCATTTAAAGCTTGGAATAATTTCTCTATTTTACCACTCAACATTTTTGCTAAAAAAAGAGATAAGATAATTGAATTAGGGGTCTCTCTCCATCAGTACACCCAAAATCTCTCTCTTGCTACCAAAAGAAAAAAAAAAAAAAAAAAAAAAAAAAAAAAAAAAGCACTTGTAGCTTATCTCTTTATCCCCCCCCCCCACCCCACCCCACCACCACACACCCACTCACCCCATCTTCTAAAAAAGAAAAAGTTCACTTTTAACCCCTTGACTATCGTACATGTATCAAATTTGGTCATTGACTATTAATATTTTTAAATTAAGTGCATGCCTATGTAATTTATATCACATTTAATTTGATCATTGACTATTAATATTTTTAAAATAGGTACATGATTATGAAATTTGTATCACATTTGGTTCTGTTGTTCAATTTTTTGGCCAAATTTTCGGCCAACTATTACCGGAATTTCAACGAAAAAAATAATATGTTTTAATTAAAAGAGTACTTTCGGTCAACTATTGCTGAAAAAATTATTTTTCTCGTTGAAATTCTGGCAATAGTTGGCCGAAAAATTGGACGGTAGAACCAATTGTGATACAAATTACAAAGTCATGCATCTCATTTGAAAATAGAGTAAATACTCAAAATGGTCCCTCGACTATAGCTAAATTCACAAATTGGTCCTCAAGTTTCAATTTCAACCAATTAAGTCCTTAACTTTGCAATTCTAACACAATTTGGTCCTCCGTCTATTTGACATTTTGTTGACCGTGATCTTTGAGGATATATATGTAATTTCACGATTCTGCATTATTCACCGCGATTCTGCGTCATCGCCGGCGGCTACGCCGTCATCGACGATCTCCAGAAGAACCTGCAGCTCTCGTCGGAGCACATGGAGGCCTCTAGGATGACGTTGCACCGTTTCGAAAACACGTCGTCTTCTTCGCTCTGGTACGAACTCAACTAGAGTGCGGTCTAAAAATGCAACCGGAACCTTAAAATACTGACGATGGACCATGAAATTACATATATATCCTCAAAAATCACAGTCAACAAACGGTCAAATAGACGGAGGATCAAATCGTGTTAAAATTGCAAAGTTAAGGACTTAATTGGTTAAAATTGAAAGTCGATGACCAATTTATGAATTTAGCTATAGTCGAGGAACCATTTTAGGTATTTACTCTTGAAAATATTAATAGTTAAGGATCAAATGTGATAAAAATTACATAATCATACACCTAATTTGAAAATATTAATAGCTAAGGACCAAATTTGTTACATATACAACATTCAAGGACCAAAAGTGGATTTCTTTTTCTTAAAATAAATGATATTTCATTATTGATTAGTTTAATCCAAAAAAATGGCCGTAATTTTTCTCTTTTAAAATTCTATATTAAAATAATACTTTATCTATTTTCTTTACATTATATCAGTTGGGTGTTGAGCACATAATTAAGGTCTAAAGATCAACAATCATGTGGACACATTGTAAAAGAACATAAATTATAACCTCTCATGCACATTTAAAAATAACCCTGAAATGCTTTTACTATATAACATTATACAATGTGTTTTAATTGTTTCTACCAAATTTTTAAAAAATATTGAGGTTACAACTCAAAAATAAATAAATAAAATAAAACCACCAAAAGGTTAAGGGTGTTTCTAGAAATAATTGAGAATGGTGTCGTTTGATCAAAAGTAGTGAAATTAGAATATGATGACATTGTACACTACAATAAAATAAATATAATGTTTACCTCTCCGGCCAATTGAAAATTATTCTAGCAGCAAAGGTGATAGACCGATCCGACTACATGACAAATTATTGTGTGGACCATAAATGCAATATACATTTTTAATATATTAAAAGTACATTATTAATTTGATAATATATATATATATATATATATATATATATATATATATATATATATAATCATGTACTTTCAATTAATGTACTTAATGTATACAAATAATGTACTTTTAGTATATTAAAAATGTACTTTTAATTTTATTTATGATATCATGTGTAGACCATTGTCCATGGAATTAATAATTTGCAACTACATCAATAATTGGGAACGGGTGCTTAGAGAGATGTTTAAGTGGTAAATCGCTTCAATTATTCTCCTAATTCATACAACTTAAGTAGCTACGTATATTGATATAAAGAATAATTATTTTGAATAAATAATACTTAATACATTATATTTATATTATTGTGAAGAATGTAAAAAATGATTGACAATGTTGTTGAATCGGGTGCCATGTTCGAGTTGAGGTACATGCGAAGCACTCCTAATAACTTCCAATCTGACCTTCTTACCCAAAAGCCTGGAAAGCCAAACAAGAAGATAATTATATATTAATTAAATAATTTCTTCTAGGCCAAGCAATATAGACAAGCTAGATACATAGGAGATGGGGGATGATTATGTCAAAATAATTACTCTTATATGTAAAATAAGAATGAATTTCAATCATAGCCGGCAAATGTAATTAAGGTACGGTGACATTTATGTAAATAAGCAAAATGATATATGTGTCTATACATATTTTCTCAATCTATTGAAGCACAAAGAGTTAATGTTTTTTGGAGTTTGACTTTTTATTTAAGGGGTCACAGCTATGCCGCTTGACTACAAAGCCTTTGGCTAGACCGTATGTATTTAGTTTAAAACAATGCATGTAATTAAAGGGAGTCAACCCAATGCTTATTTAATATTCCATATGTCTCATTTTATTTGTCATATATATTTACTATTCATTAGTCAAATCAATTACTTTTTTTGTTTATTTTTTTAAATATTTTTTAGTTATTTTAAATTTTGATTTTTTGTGTTTAATAGTACTTTTAGTTTAATTTCTAAATATATAAATGTTGTATACTAATACAAAACTTAATATTATGAAAAAATGAATTAAAAATAACTCCCGTCAAATCTCATTAACCGAACCAGATACACAAAATAGGACTGAGAGAATATAAAATAGTGCGGGGTTTTCTCAAAATAATACACTTTTATCTTAAACCAATGCATGCATGAAAAACTTCTGCGCGCGCGAACACACACACACACACACACACACACACACACACACATATATATATATATATATATATATATATATATATATATCACTCTGTAGTAGCTCTAGAGGGAGAGTTCTATGGGTTTAGAATTAGTCCGTCAAAACTAAAATCATTTAAGTATATTAAAAAAATATCACTCTATATTTTAACAAGTTATCCCTAAAACATTGCTAGTTTTTCTTTTACCCCAAAAGAATGATGTTTTACTCCTCAAGCTAAGGATGCAAGCAATCAAATTAAAGCTTTTCATATATACAAAAATGTTACCATATTTTTCATTAAGTATAGATTTCATTGGTCTAGTTACTAGTATACGGTTTTGTGATGAATGCTTGAATAAAATTTATTCTCATTTTCATATATAAGAGTAATGATTTTCACATAATTCTTCCCCAATAAGAGATGGAATATGTACAAACTCTTTGAGTTCCAATGCCTTCTCTAACAAAAATATTTGATCATGTTCACCCCACAAAATCAACACTTCCTGCACATGAAAATTTAATTTATCAATATTATTACTTTCTGGTATTATGTAGTAATTAAGCAAAGATAAGTAAGGGTCATTTTGACCAATTTATAAATAAGGATCTTTTTTTGTTCAAACCATGAAGTGTCTTGAAAGCCATAACTATAGGAGACACCTTTAAATCGGTACTTTACTCAGATTAATCCTCATCCACACCAGACTCGTCCAATTAAGGAACAAAGTGCTGACCAAATTGATTTTAATCCTAACTATAGGAGGCACCTTTAAACCCGTACTTTAGTCAGACTCATTTTCATTTGCTGACCAAGCTGGTTATAAATAAGGGTCTTTAGATGTATAAGTGTTGCAATGGTGGTAGAAAAGTGTAAACACAGTACAATTAGTATGACCTGTTGAAGGGGAGATTTGTCTACTGTGTCATCTCTTCCATGGCTCAATCCTTCTAGTAGTTTCAGCTTCTCTTCCCTATTTTCAACATATAATTTCTGCAGAATATATATATATATATATCAAAATTTAATTAGTTTATTAATAATCTAAATAAAATAAGAAGATGAAGGATCTTAATTAGCTTGTACGTAGTGTAATAATATAATAAGCCCGGCCGGCCCGCAGCTTGCCTGAAGAAGATGGTTGAACACGAAATCCGGAAGGTAAGGAAGCCGCCGGAAAGTCGAGAAAGAAAGCAACGTCCGTAACTGCTCCGCCGTCGCCGGCAAAAGCAAGTCCTCAATCTTCTCGACGTTGGCCCTCTTCAGCAGCTCCACCTCATCTCTCCTCTTCATGTTAACCGCGCAACTGGCGATCACCACCTTCTGCACCCTCTCACCAGGCCACATCCTGGCCACCTCGTACGCCACGAACCCGCCATACCCGGTCCCCGCCACGGAAAACTCGCGGACGCCGAGTTTCTCCAAGAGCTCCGACACGCACTTCGCCTGGAAACCCGCGGACCGGTCGGGGGATTTTGTGGTGGAGCCGCTGAAGAACAGGAGGCTGGGGACGTAGACGCGGTAATGCGCGGCGAAGAACAGGACCTGCGGGAGCCATTGCCAGACGCCGTGCGGGCCGAAGCCGTGGATGAGGACTAGTGAGGGCTTCGGAGGCGGTGGTGGGTTCGGGTTCGGGTTTGGGCCCCAGAAGTGCATGGTGGTTTGGTCGTCAATGTCGAGGGTTTGAGGAGAGAGGTCGACGGCGGAGAGGCGGTGGTGGAGGAAACCGCCGTACAAGGAGATGGGGCTCGGCCAAGAAGGGAACATGAAGGATGATGGATCGGAATTAATGGTCCGGTCAAGCCATGCAAGCTACGTAAATAATAATAATAAATTTTGTCATTATGTAGTATGAACAAAAATATTTGAGTATTTATTTTAATACTAGCATTTTGTATGCGTTATCCGTACAAATTCATTTTCAATATTAAAATATTGATAAATAAAAATAATTAAAATTTTTAGTTTTAATTAAATTTTATAATTTTTGAAGTAGTAAATTTTAATCATAGTATTTAAAAATTATATTATCGAGTAAAAAAAAAAAGGAATTTATATTTTATTTAATAATAAAATATATTCAACAATTAAATTAAGTATATAATGATTTTAATAAAATGATAATTAAAGATCATAATAGGAAAATGATATGATAATTTTGGTAAATATAATTAAAGTGTATAATATTTAAAGTAAAATGTATACTTTTATTAGCATACAAAAAACGAACCTACATTAGGGATATAACATGAATTGAGACTTATTAGAGGATGTTTGGTAAATGGTTGTTAGCTGATTGAGTTTGTGAGTTTGACTAGTTGATAGCATTAGGTCATTAGCTGATTATATTATAGTATCACTTATTCTATAAACACTCAATAGTAAATATGAAAATTTGCGACATTTTTAAATATTTATAAATTAAAATATAGAGAACATTACACTTTTCTTCTCTAAATTATATGTTAATTGTAGGATTCATCCATACTTGTTAGTCATGTTCACTCTTCATCATCTCTAAACTATAATTGACATTGTAAATTTTGTCATTTTTTCTAACTTGTCGTGCTCACTTCTCACCTCTACTATAAGCTATAACCGACGTTGCAAATTTCATCTTTAATGTTTTGTTAGAAAAATGACGAAATTCGCAACGTCACTTATAGATTACTAGATTAGGGACGGGAAGTGAAGACAACTCCTACATACAATTACCTTAACTTATGGACAAAAATGTAATTTTTTCTAAAATATACTATATTAAGAGTTAATTCCACCAGAAGTTCCTTGTCTTTTATGACAATTTCAAATTTAGTCTCATACTATCGTTTTTGTCATTTAACATCCTAGACTATAATCCTTTTGATGATTTTTCAGGTAAGACCCTATTTTTGTCAAGGGTATTGTTGTCTATTCACTTTTATAAAAAAAAAAATAAAAATTAAGGGTGTGTTTGGAAACCTGGAAAATGAGTTCTGGAAATCATTTTTCAAGTTTCCATTGTTTGGTTGTGCATGGAAAATCAAGTCAACGGAAATCATTTTCTGTTGACTTTGGAAAATATGCTTGTTTTGGAGGAAAATGACTTCCCTTTTTTTTGGGGAAGTCATTTTCCAACTTTTACACCAACATCACACCACCACCAACATCATCAACACCATACCACCACCACCTCACTACCACCATCACCACCACTACTGCCGCCGCCACCACCACTATACCACCGCAACCACCACCACCACACCACCACCATCACACCACCACCACTACCGCCGCAACCACTACCACCATCAACACCATACCACCACCACCACCATACCACCGCAACCATCGTCGCCGCCACCACCACCACCGCAACCGCCGCCACCACACCACCACCACCACCACCACTGCCGCTGCCACCACCATACCACCGCAACCACCGTCGCCGCCACCACCACTACCACCGCCGCTGCCGCCACCACCACCACCATCACACCACCACTACCACCACCACCGCCGCCGCCACCACCACCATACCACCGCAACCACCGTCGCCGCCACCACCACCATACCACCGCCGCTACCGTACCACCGCAACCATCGCCACCACCACCACACCACCACCATCACACCACCACCACCACCATCACACCGTCGCCGTCGCCACCACCACGACCATACCACCGCAACTACCGCCACCACCACCATCATACCACCGCCACCACACCATCACCACCACCACCACTGCCACCACTGTCATACCACCACCACCAATTATTATTATTATTATTATTATTATTATTATTATTATTATTATTATTATTATTATATAACAAATAACACCACTACCACTACACCACCACCACCATCATAATATTTTTGATATATTATTAGTTATTTTTTTATTATATTTAAAATTATTATTATATTATTATATATGTTATTATACATGTTATAATATTCTAAATAAAATAATTAAAATGTTTAATTATACAATTCCACTCATTTTCTAGAAAATGAACCAAACACACAAAAACAGTTTTCCAGAATGCAACCAAACAATGGAAAGGAAAATATTTTCTGAAAAATAACTCATTTTCAAGAAGTCATTTTCCTGCTTTCCAAACGGACCCTAAGTTTTTTACCGATTTACTCTTTTTCTTTTCTTTTCTTTTTTTTTTTTAATTCAGCCAATTCTTTTGTTCTATAATCACAAATCTTTACGGTCTAAATCATCCCCTTCACCAGCAATTGTTGCCGTTGTTCACTAGCCTTCGCCACCGTTGTTCACCAGTTTTCGTCGGCGTTTTTCACCGGCCTTCACCGCCGTCGGTTGAATTACATATTACAAAAAATAATTTGAATTAAATATTATTAACGGGGATAAGACACATCAAATGAACCACAAGTATATATGGATAATTGATTAGATTGTAACTTAGTTAGCTGGTTTAAATAATATAATGGAATTTTCTACGAAACTTCTCAAGCCTGCCTTTTCAATTTGGATTTATATATCATGGAATGTAGTGTTACGTACTACGTTGTTAGAAGACAAAACCATTACTGCAATGACAGAACACTACCGAAAGTTCCCTTTGTCGATAATCGATATGATGGTCTGTTCAACAATAGATATATGAACGTAACGAAGCTTCAAATTTTACACATAGTCATAGTTGACAAACTTAGCTTAAAGCAGAAAAGGTATAAGCTAAAAATTGTTTGAGTTTAGAGAACCTAAATCCGAAAGTAATTTAATAAAGACTAAGAAACATACAAGACATTCATTGAAGATCAAGTTATTTGAGTCTTGAGGCCCTTCAACGAACAACAAGGCACATACAAACCCTTCTTTAAAAATCATGTCATTTGCTTATGAGTCCGGAGGCATGTGTATGTATATATAGATTAGAGATTGGGTGCGTTTATTCTCCCATGTGAAAAATGGGGATAATGAATCTCAAACATCCATCCAATGGTCATCAAACCATCTCAGTTGTTGATTGAAAATTTTAAGCGGAGGTTGCTTTAGTTCAAATTCGTGTACTGAGGGGTAAAAAAATAATTAAACAAAAATCTCAAAGCAAAACAACGCAATCACCTCCACTAAGCCGTCTTCTCCATTGCTGCCTGTTGTCTTTACATCTTCAAATCATCTCCGATCACTCATAGGTGAGAAAAAGGTTAATATATGCACATGAAGTTTCAAAGTTATGCACGCGTTAAAAGTGTGCTCCTTAAGGTGCAAAATTATTCACATTAATTTCAATTGTATGCACTTTAAGGTGCAAAATTATGCACCTAAGGGTTCAAATTTATGCACCCAAAGTTCAAAGTTTTGCACCTTACAGTTAAAGGTATGAACTTTAAGGTGCAAATTTATGCACCTGGAGTTTTAAAATGCACTTTACAGTTTAAAGGTGTGTCGCTTAATGTGCAAAGTTATGAACATTAATTTTCCACTTTATGCACTTTAAGGTGAATATTTATGCACCCAAAGGTTCAAATTTATGCACCCGGCGGTGCAAATTTATACACCCGAAATTCCAAAGTTTTGCACCTTACAATAATCGATTAGCATTCAAGAACTATAAACAGATTGACATCTTCATGTTTACGAGGGATCATAATTGAATCGCCAGTAAAAAAAATTAGTTTTGTGTAATTTTTATGTATAGAGAAAGAATAAGAGAGATTTGGTAACAATGGAGATTAGGAAACAGAGCTGTGAAGAAGATACTATTGAAGTTCGTTAACAAAAACGGGTATGAATATTAGAGAGAAGACAAAATAGACCCTAATTAGTATTATAATTTTAAAAAGGCTCTCAACTTTGATCTATTTGATCAACAATAATCAACGGTTCAAATCCCATCCTATTTTTTACTTAGGAGATCCTTCACACCAGAACCAGCCATATATATATATATATATATATATATATATATATATATATATATATATATATATATATATATATATATATATATATATATAGGGAAGGTTCCAGGTGCGGGTATAGCTTCCCGTGCGGTTAAATCTGAGCAGTTGGTCAAATTTAGATCAACGGCTCAAATCAATGAAAATTAAAATTAAAAAAAAAAAAAAAAAACGCGTGCCTGGAACAAAGAAGTATAAGCTAAGGTGCACCTTAAGTGTTAGATATGAATCACAAACTCACGCACTTTAAGTACAAAACTCACACACATTAAACACAACATCACGCACATTAAGCACAAAACCCACGCACTTTAAATATTAACTCACAGACTTTAAGTTTCAACAACTACTGACATTAAGTACAAAACTCACGCACATTAAGTACAAAACCCACGCACATTAAGCACAAACATCACGCACATTAAGCACAAAACTCACGCACTTTAAGTATTCACTCACAGACTTTAAGTTTTAACAACTATTCACGTTAAGTACATCCCCACGCACATTAAGCACAAACCTCACGCACATTAAGCATAAAACACAAGCACATTAAGCACAAAACTCACGCACATTAATCACAGATCCGCTCACCTTAATTCTGACCTAGATGCAAAAATTAAAAAATTGTCACCGCGTTGTTTTTAAAAACTTTGATAATCCTGGACGTTGATTAAAGCGAGATGAATGACTCAGATTAAACTGCACCTGAAGCCCTCACCCGCACGAGAACCTAAATATATATATATATATATATATATATATATGTGTGTGTGTGTGTGTGTGTGTGTGTGTGTGTGTGTGTGTGTGTGTGTGTTTTAACAACAAAATAGGTACAAAAG